ATCTGTGTCGATAAAAATCCAAATATCTGAAATGACTAAAAATATATCAGAAATGACTAAAATACCATCACAAAGACTAAGACCAACACAAGAAGAGCTATGGACCCAAAGGCAAACGGCATGAAAGAAAACTACATGTAGTATAGTTCCAGCTCGAATGTTACGCATCACGCAATTTGACAGTGTTTTGGCATCTATGACGATTTAATATTATCAAATCAGAGACGAATTGACAAAACCATTTCAGGACGCACGTTCAAGTCTACCAAGTGTGGGGTTTCGATTTCATCTCATTCTGGTGATGATCTCACAATCCATCGGCCGGGTATGAGGAATTGTTACGTCTTGTGAACAGTGGCAGTGTAAGTGAAGTTGTCAAGTTGAATGGTTACTTCAAAAGAGAATATAATCATAATCAGATGTTGATGTTTCCAACGTCCTCATGTTCGTTGCAAGTTCGCTATGCTCGTGGTGAGTGTCCGAAAAATCAAGTTTTGAAACAGCGCCACCTATAACTTTTATCTTTTGTATTGAGGGCGCAATGAACAAAATGGCGAAGACGTGAAGTCGTGGTGACTCGAAACACATCCGGTGTTAGATTCATTATGAGAGAAGTTTAGTAATTAAGATGAACGGTATAAATGCTAGACATGGAAGAACGTACAGACGAAGACAAAGGAAATCAAAATCGACTAGTAAGTACACAAACGAGGACGTTTCGCTTATCATGACGATCAGGACACAGATCGGGTAGCACTAAAGCTTGTGTCCATGAGTTTGTTGTGCAGCTTATTTTTGTTCGTTTCTCACTGAGATCCATTAAAATGTCCTAAACCGAAAGCATGGATCCAGGGCAAGATATATCGCGATTATCAAATTATGGCCAAGGACCACAGGGTTAGACGATTTCCAAACTTTTCAGCCCTGGTAAATAGTAGACCTCATGTTTCTATAGTTTTGAACTTTGTTGGTAGAATGAGTTCCCAAAGTGATTTGCGTGAATAAATTAAAAACGTTTGTCAGAATGTGACAAAGTAGCAATTTATTAAGGTCTATATATATTTACCAAGGCCAAACAAGACCATGGGCAAAATGTTCAGCTACCTACCTGATGATTTTTGTGTGGTTAGTTTATGGGGCAGAACAACTATGTCACATTGCAGAGTAAAATCCTTACTCAATGTAATGGAAAGTATGAAATTGAAACAGTTTTCTATTGTTATGCAAGCATATATCATCAAATGTCGCATCCATTCATATATCATCCACGCTCAGAAACATCAAAAACATTAATACTTGTTTTTGTGGCCAATCAGCCTGCACCATACTAATCATAGCACATACAGCATTGAGACAAAACAGCACTGGAACTCTTCCCAAGTGAAAATCCTCGAAATCGCTTAAATCAATTAATATGACTATAAATAAAAAAACATGCACAGGGACGGCATGTGAAATCTAGCCATGCATACTTGGTTTACTGGGAACACAATTTTTTTAGGCAAAGACAGAAATGTAGCAGGCAATGTCTGGCATCCAATCACAGCTGAATAGTTTATTGATTTACTAAAATAGAACTGACATAATTATAAAATATCTAAGGATGTGAACTACAGACATCAAGTTATATATACACATAGTTTATGTCTTAGTTGAGCAGGATTCAAGATGGTGCCATGTAAAATGATTTGAAACAAACATTCAGAGATGAACTGTTTTTAGTCCGTTGTCCGAACATTTTTACATTATCAGTAAAGACCAATTCTAAAAATATTGTACCATGAAATATTTCTCACTTTGTTTAATTTGACCAAGATCTGACCAACTAACTAGCAAGTTCATTTTCAGCTCTCAGAAACAAACAATCAGAACTTG